TTCCCCTTCCCCTGCTCCTTTCCCTTTCCCTTTCCCTTCCTCTTCCCCTGCTTCTTTCCCTTCCCTTTTCCCTTTCCTTTTTCCCTTTCCCTTCCCCTTTCTCTTCCTCTTCCCCTTCCCCTGCTCCTTTCCCTTTCCCTTCCCCTTTCTCCTTCTCCTTCTCTTCCCCTTTCCCTTTCCCCTCCCCTTCCCCTTCCCTTTCCGTGCTCGTCTCCCCTTGCTCCGGGTGGTCTCGCTGTCCGTGCTGTCTCGGGATCAACCCCCACGCTGTCTCGACGCCCCCGAGCCCCTTCCCGCCGCTTGCTGGACTCCGCTCCATCCGCAGGGACTGTGTCCCGCCATTCCGTGCAATCGCTCTCCTTGCGGATCGTCTCCCGGTACAGCCCCTTGCTTCCTTCCCTGCTGCTCCGCGGGCTCCGGCACCGCGGCGACGCCTTGGAGCAGGGAGAGTGGCCGCGGTGCGAGCGGGAACGTCCCGGCGCCTGCGGCTTTGGATCCCATGCGGGATCGCTGGCACCGTCCTGGCTTCTCCCCAGGGGCTGCGGGACATCCCGGTGGCACCGGCCGCTGTCCTCGATGCCCTGGGAGCTGAGGGGAGCCCTGGCTCTGCCGGGCGCCGTTCCCAGCCGGAATCGAAGCATCCGCAGAGCCGAGGCCGGCGCTGGGCTCCGGAACTGCCCGGGAATCCCGTGCCATCCCCGGGAACGCAGCACGTGGGTGTGCTCAGGGGGCAGCTTTGCCCCATGGCAAGCGGGAGGGAGCAGCTCGCGCGGAGCCCGGATTGAGCGGCGGGATCCCACGTCCCTCTTCCCACCGCTGCTCCGGGGACGGAAAGGGAGGGAGAGGCTCCGCTGGAAAGCGCTTGGGAAGCTACCGGCTTCTATCCAGCATCCAGGTTTGGACAGATGTGGGGTGAGAGGATCCGTAAGGCACCAGGTTGGCAGCGCTGCTCATGGATTAGAGGGATTAATAATCCGCTGGCAAGCTGGAATTCGAAGCGGAAGGGCCCTGGGTTACAGCAGGGAATAACCACGCCAGGAAAGCCCCGCTCTGCCCCGCGCAGAGAGCGTCGGGAGGGCACGGAGAGCTTTGGAACAGCATGGAGAGCATTGGAACGGCGCGGAGAGCATCAGAATGGTGCAGAGAGCATTGGGAGGGCATGGAGAGTGTCGGAACAGCGTGGAGAGCATTGGAAGGGCATGGAGAGCGTTGGGAGAGCACGGAGAGCATTGGAACGGCGCAGAAAGCATCGGGAGGGCAAGGAGAGCATTGGAACGGCGTGGAGAACATTGGAAGGGCATGGAGAGCGTTGGAACGGTGTGGAGAGCGTTGGGAGGGCACGAAGAGCATTGGAATGGCACAGAGAGCATCGGGAGGGCATGGAGAGCATTGGAACGGCATGGAGAGCATTGGAAGGGCATGGAGAGCGTTGGAACGGCGTGGAGAGCATTGGAAGGGCATGGAGAGCGTTGGAATGGCATGGAGAGCATTGGGAGGGCATGGAGAGCGTTGGAACGGCGTGGAGAGCATTGGGAGGGCATGGAGAGCATTGGAAGGGCATGGAGATCATTGGAACGGTGTGGAGAGCATCAGAACAGTGCAGAGAGTGTTGGAATGGCATGGAGAGCATTGGAACGGCACGGAGAGCATTGGAATGGTGCAGAGAGCATGGGAATGTCATGGAGAGCGTTGGAACAGTGTGGAGAGCGTTGGAACGGCACAGAGAGAATTGGAAGGGAATGGAGGGAATTGGCACAGCATGGAGAGCATTGGAACAGCATGGAGAGCATTGGAAGGGCACGGAGAACTTTGGAGCGGCGTGGAGAACATTGTAACAGCATGGAGAGCATCAGAATGGCATGGAGAACACTGGCACAGCATGGAGAGCACTGGAACAGCGTGGAGAGCATTGGAAGGGCATGGAGAGCATTGGAAGGGCACAGACAGTATTGGAAGGGTGCAGAGAACATTGGAGTTTGTAGAGCATTGGAAGGGCATGGAGAGCATCGGAATGGCACAGAGAGCATTGGAAGGCTGTGTGGAGCATTGCAGGGGCGTGCAGGAGCCACCACACCGGGGCTCCTGCCTGGAAAACTCTCTGCTTTTGCCCGCTCTGCCTCCCCGTGACGGTCATTCCGCCTGCCGAGCCCGGCGCTCCGAGCGCGGCTGCTCCGACGCGCAGCGCGCTGCCGTCCGCTCCTTGGGGAGCGTTTTTGCTCTGGATACTCCCGAAACGCTGGGGCCTCGTGCCTCCCGGGGGGACAGAGCCCCTCCGGGCTGCTCGCGCCGCAGCTGGGGGAGCAGCGGCACCAAACGGGGCCCTTAGCCGAGGCCCCGGGGGCGCCGCTGCCTCCGGGACCGTTCGGGATCCCCGGAGCCGCCCCACCGGCCCCGCGGCGCTTGCACAACCCGTGACTCAGCCCTTCCCGCGCGGCGCCCGCGCTGTCGCAACCCGCAGGGCCCCGGAGCGGAGCGGCCTCCCCAAATCCGCTCGCGTTCCCTCGCCTCCCCCGTCAGCGCCCTGGGAAAAGGAAGGGCTGTTCCCTGGAAAAGCAGCTTCTCAGGAGGACGTGGCGCCCCGAGCAGTCACCAAGCCGGCACGTCCTTGTCCTCGGCAGGGTTTCTCCCGCAGGATCCGCTTCCTTAGCGGGTAACATTTAGTGTCAGGGCTGATGGGGGTGTCAGATGGAGAACGCTGCATCTTGTCCACAGCGGGATCTGCTTTTTTAAACCTTATGAGGAGCTCTTTAGGGCAAGTGGTTATTGCAAACACCTCATGGGGAGCTGGTGCTCGTTGGCTTTGCAGCACCGGCCGATGCGATTCCCCGCCAGCATTCCCGGGGCCGCCCTCCATGGATACCGCCTTCCTCCTCTGCTCCGTCGCGTGCAGGGCTTCGTACGGCCCGCTTAAATTCACCCTCAAAATGCCGCACATTAAACCCCATGGAGCTGCTAACCACTGCCCTGTCTGCTGTGTCTTTGCTCTAAAGCTCCTGCGAGAGCTTGTGGCCTCACAGGCGACAGGTCTGTGCAGGGAAACCCGCAAGTGGGAGCGCGGGACACGCGCAGCTCGGAAAGCACCATAGGGACGGGAACACCCTGCGTCAGCGGGATGGGAACCGGCCCGCTCCCGCTTTTCCGGTCGGGCGAGGCCTGGAGCTGCCCAGAGCAGCCCGGAGCGCCCGCCCCGGCCTCGGGCTGGGCTCGGCGCATCCCGGCCGAGCGCCTCTCCGTGCCCCGGAGCACCGGGGCTCCCTGCGGAGCTGCGGCCCCACGGAGCGAGC